AAAAAAAAAAAAAAAAAAAAAAGAGAATAAAAAAACAAAAATAAAAAGCACAACCACAAATGGCACCTTCGAAAACTGCTTATGCTTTCGGTTACCACAAATAAACACATCGTTATACGGCACATCCCCATTTTAATTTCAAAAAAAAAAAAGACCAAATAAGAATAACGAACGAAAACATACTTTCAGACACTTTCTTCATTGCCGGATACCCCCCCCCCAAAGGAAAAAAAAAATAAGAGCCAACGAGACACTCCAAATCCAACTTCAAACAACCGAAGAAATCTTCCTACTTCAGTGTAAAAATTAATTCAAGACAGAAGTCCGCCCGCATTACCAAAAGTCAAAAATCTTACCAACAAAGCCTGATGACCCATAACTACCATGAAACTCTGCAGACACCCAGCCTTCTTCAACCCACTACCAAGCCGTTTCTAAAGCTTCTTCCGCTGAAACTAAAATGGGGATATGCCAAAAACACCTTTTCCAAGTACAAAAAAAGGGCTATTATTAAATGTAAAAAATGAAACACTTTTATTTGTTAGAATTACTTTACAACAATCTTCAAATTAAAAATGAGAAATAAGAAATCAGTTTTCTAAAGACACAAAATAAAGATCAAAAATGATGAATTACGAAGTTCCAAAAAGTGCCAAAATTGCATAAGATCGGTAGTTATCTTAGAATTATATGTGTGCTCACAAGTTGGAAAATTTCACAGTAGTAAACATTATAAAAACAAGTTAAAAACTGTTAGATTTTATACCAAGTCATTTAGTACAATAAGACTTTCTAAAATGCCTCTCAATCAAAACCACTGTAGAGTAAAAAACCTTCCCGAACGAAAAACCTCGTGTGACATTTCACTAAGGAAATAAAGAACACAACAGTATTTGGTCGCAAATCTCATTAAACAACAATAACAACAGAAAAAAGACATCAAAAAAGAAATGCACATACCATCCCTAAGAACAATAAAAAACAAATAACCAAGATATACAAAATGATTAACTGAAAATAAAAAAAACTAAGCTCCAACTTAGGTATCCTGCGACTATTTACATGCGAACACGAGAACTTAATTTAATAAAACAAAGAAATGCAGTCATTTAAAACTTGATACCACAAAACCTAAATCATCTAAAAAATAGTTAAAACGAATATCAGTGTTGAATAAAAAATCATCGTCCAAAAGCATTAAAACCAAGTTGATTACCAATAGGGTGCATCGAAGGTTGTTGTGGCTGCATCCGCTGATGACAAGCCGGTATAATTGCATACTGAGCCATCAGAGGTATGTGGTCTGATGGTACGTGAGGGTGAGGAAAACCTATGATTTTATTAGATTCCATCCAGTTCATGTCCAGCGGTCCAAGAACACCAAGACGAACCAAAGAACGTGGAGTAGAGAATATATAGTCAATTACACCCTTGAAGTCTAGCCTAAAGAGTCAGATTCAAGTCACAACAGGCATCAAAATATAAAAAGGAATAACCATGTTACTCCACTGTTTACTTTACGTCCATCAAAAAAAGATCCTTATAATTTAACATATATAGTGATTTCACCATCTACCTCCTAATATAAATAACAGATGAGGTGAATTAGAGTTGAACCATCCGCTAAATCGAAAGATAGATAAACGAAGATATAACAATCAAAAAGATGTTATCAAAAATAAGAAACTCCAAAAAAATTACTGACGTATAGTTAGTGAACGGAAGTGTGCTCCCTTCAACTGCACTACTCAATAACAGGTTATGAGTGTAATAATCAGTGTCATCAGTAGCACTCAAACGGATCAAGCAAGGATCGTTAATAAATTCTTTCAAATCTGGATGGCTTTTCGATATCTGGCCCTTCGATAAAAATTCGAACACACCTTGAAAACACGAGAATCATCTTACAAAGGTGGAATAGAAATACCAGCTCAACTGTACACTTGGATATAAAAAAAATGATGTGACTAGCAAGTATAAGCGGGCGAAAACGGAATAAGAGGTGAAAGACCTACCAGAATCCGGTAGAGAATTAAGGTCTCCACAAATTAAGATAGGGATCTGCTGGGGTTTGATCCGGTATTTGGTAGCAATCTGAAAAAAAAATAAAAAAGAAATGTAAAAAAACAATACTTACCAGATCTGAACTGTGGACAAGTAAACAACAGAAAAACCAAAAAGTTTTGGGGACTGAAGAAACTACTTACATCATCTAACAAATATCCTATTTCGTGAACAAGCATCATACTCTGAATCAACTTTACATCGCAATACGATGGATCCCAGTGAATGTGAGCCGTGCAAACAACTAGAGGTGTCCCTACAACATTTTCGCTCGGTGACATCGTCATTCGCCCTGAAAAACTGTGAGTCAGACCAAATAAATAGCTAACAAAACGTAGACAAATTCAAAAAAACGCTTACTGTTTGCATAGACGTTCTCCTTGATTTTTAGTACGGCACAGAGCGCAATGTTATCTCTCGGCATAACGCGATTCAACATCTGCTTACTAGTTTGCGCCGTTTTAATAGCCACTTGCGTGAATTCAATTAGGTGCTCTCTTTCCATTTCAAATCTAAATGATAATTAACGCCTTTTAGAGTTTAATTGACATTAATATGATGAAACTAAAAGATGAATTTACTTATCGCGTTTCCAGAATATAGCACATCCGTCTACATACTTCCGGTCCTCCTCACGCATAGTTTTTGCCCTCGACTTTGGAGAAAATATACCTGCGTAACCAAAAGCTTCCATTTCTGGAAGGAAGATAAGTCGAAATTGTTCGGTCTCAACTTCCTAAAAACGACAAAAGCATTTCAACAATTACTTAAACATCAGAAGAAGAAAAGTTTATCGCCAACCCAGTTAGAGGAATTTTAAAGCACCTGCAGGGTTATGATATCAGCCTCATAATGTCGTATCTCCTTCAAAATAGCCGACTTTCGATATTCCCAATTTAAGGCCCACGAGGGACAGTAGGAGTACAACGAGCTCGTTGCGTACTTGTCGCAAAGAACGTTGTAGCACAGAACAGTAAAAGTTGCTGGAAAAACTATTTTATTTCTTATAAAAATACTAGCGAAAAGAAATTTTCTAGTTGAAAACTCACCCATTGGTCTTTCCGGGTCTGCATGCCCCATCATCATCCACTGCCTGTCTGGTGGAGCTATGGTATTAACTGAAAATAAGAGTTTACAGTTTGAGCATATCAAACGTTTACAGAGAGAAAAAAGAAGTGAAATATTAATTTAATTCCTTAACGCTTCAAAACTGGACAACGAACAAATATTATAACTGAAAAATTATCCTTCAAAAAAGAATTACTTGCAAGATGATCCAACAAGAACTGCAAAAGTTTCTGAGCACCATTGGTTTCATGATAAATTTTACTTATTTCAGGAGAAAGTGGGTTTCCTTGCAAACCTTAAAAGCTTTAATACCTCACCTTCTTTAGGTGCAGTTAAAGTCAGTTAAATAAAATAGAATTTGATTGAAATTGATACTTCAGATGAGCAGTAAAGAGTGCCCTACCTAGTGTTTGCAAGCGAAACAGCTTGCCAAGTTCATAAGGCAGAACTCGAAGTTGGTTTTGATTGAGGTAGAGGTGACATAATGAGATCATATCGCCGAGTTCTGCAGGCAAACTGCGCAGTTTATTATGTGAAAGGTCTAGCGTCGTCAAGTTTCCCAAGTTACAAATTTCGTTTGGGATCCTAGAATGTTCAGCGCATAAATTTCTTTTTTTCTATCAAAGCTTTTAAAGCTCCTTTTGGTCAAAAAAAAAAAATATTGCCTTGTTAAAAGATTTCCGCTTAAAAAAAGCGCTGTTAAGTCCTTCATCTTCCATAATCCCGAATTGATGTTTTTAACGCGCCCTGCAAATTGAAGGTTAATAACAGGTATCAAAATGTCGACTGCGAGAATCAACCTAAACGATTTGATAAAAATGCAGGTACACTACTTAAACTTATCAGGAAATGCAATACCAGAAGCACCGTTCAGAAGAAATTAAAGTTTGAAATTCATCTAATTGATAAGCTTATAAAAAAAAAAGCTTGATAAAAACGATAAGCAAGTGGTTATCACTCCACTATAGTCATTCATTTACTGAAAAGGGACTTATAGAAAAATGTAAATGACTCATAATTAACGCCGTGAAAAAGGTATATAGAATCCAGTTCAGTAACGGACAACAAAAATAAGCAAAATAAACGCAAAACTAACCGTGTATCTCTAATTCTGTCCACCTTGATTCCTTCCCTTGGGCTATTTCTTCTTCAGTCATTATACGATGAATGCGATACATACCATTTGTTAACATTTTTTTGCCATCGGCGCTTTCGTTTTTTGTAACCGGGAATCCAACAGAACCGTATTTGTGTTCGCAGACCTCACCATTGTGAATTGTCGAATGCGACATGTGTGGAACATAGTGGTCATTGTGGCTGTTACTGTTCGGAGGTTCGGAAAATCGTCCACTCGCTAAAATAAAACGCTGTAGCTAAAGAGCCAAATTATGTAAGTCAATAAAAAAAAAAACAAGAAACTTGAAATTCAGCCTTTAAAACTGATAACGAAAACCAGCTTCCTGAGGGAAATACAATTCTAAGAGATACAATTATCAAGACGTTCTTCTTAAAAACGCCATGACTAACAATGCCAAGCAATGCTAGTTTAAGTTCACGACAATACTATATCAAAAGTATTTGATAAAAAGATAAGTAAAAACGAGTGTTTATCTCCTCATTATAGTACACCACAAAATAAAAAACTTAAAAAACTTACTTGAAGGATGGGTAGCCATTTGGAGATCATAGAAATTAGAAGAAGGGCCGAGGTGCCGAAAAAGTTCCTATGTACAAAGGTGCAGTTTCTTTTTTTCAGATATCAAGTACAAAAATACTTGAAAGCGATGTGACGAAAGAAGATTACAATGAGAAGGGTTAAAATTCCAATTAACTGTTCCAAAATTCAACCTGCAAATTGTAATTTACGCATCTGAATTAACTGTACTTCCTAACACCAGTAAAGACGTCAATAATCGTGAATTCATAAAAATCGTCAAATAGCAACACACATAGATATAAAGACGAATATATCTTAATGTGAACCTGTCCGTTCATAACAATATTAATAGATAAATATGGAAATATATGTGTATATATAAATATACAAATATAAATATAAACAAATATATATTCAAAGAACTGTAATGTCACTGCTCTAGACCCTTTCTACATATCAACCCCCCGGAAAAATAACAAATGATAAGTTGTCCTACCGAATGTGGTAGCACATATTTATCCGTCCAAGATACACTGCACAGATTCAGCAATGACGCTAACCTGAAATCCCAGCATACCTAACTATATTTCGCCATTGGGTGTAAAAGATTATCTAGAATGGAAAAATTAGGAGCCAGATATACAACAAAAGTGTTTTTGGTATTCAGAGCATTCGCTCATGGAAGAAAATGGAAGCCGGCTTCAAACAACTTTACCAAATAGTCTGTTGAAAATACCTGCTAAATGACTGATATCAAGATATCCTCTTATAAGCGAAACATTTTGAAATCTTAAAACCTCAACACCAAATACAGTGC